GGGGAAGCAAATGTCTCCGGCAGGAACTGCATCAAGCCCTTCAGCAGAAACTCACATCTTTGTTTTCAAGAATCTCCTGTTTGGCTTCAGGTTCAACCTCAACAAACTCAGCCTCTTCTCCTAACGCTCCGAAATCAGGTCCATTAGCTGGAAGAGGCTCCAAACTCTAAAAGGGAGGGAGAAAACACAGATAAATAATAAACTTACATAAAAAAACAAAAATCTTTGCATTTTGTCTTTAGATGGTGCTCCCAAGCTCAGTACCGTGTTTCCCTCTGTGGACTGGAGGCTGGGAAGCAAAGGACGGATGTAAGTACTGTTGATATACAAGTCCTGGATTGGTTGTGAGCTCCCTCCCTGGTGTCCAGTGTATTACTAATAAATAAAATAAAGATGAAAAATAACTGAAAGGGGCAGGCATGAACCTATGATGATGGTATCATTAACTGAGGTCTCTGGGACTATGGCTATCTGGGCCTATACAACTTAGGGCCCACTTGAAGAAAAAAAAATAGTTAAAAAATAAGGTGCCACAAAGACATTTATCAAAAGGGGCACCTGGGTGGCTCAGCTGATTAAGCATCCAACTCTTGATTTCGGCTCAGGTCATGATATCGAGGCCGGTGTTGGGTTCTGCTCTCAGCGGGGTGTCTGCTTGAGATTCTCTCTCCCTCTCCCTCTGCCCCTCCCCCCGCTCTCTCTCTCTCTCTCAAATAAAAAAAAAAAAAACCAAAGAAAAGAAAAAAATTGCTTTTTCGTTTTAGAAAGTATTCTAATTTTTTAAAACAAAATTGGATATGTTCTAGGATAACTATAATGACAAATCAAATTACTAAAACCTATTTCTCTGTACCCTGAAAGCCTCATTCACACATTAAAAGAAACTGAGACTATTCATAAAATGTGCCAGGAGACAGTCACTTTCTACAGTCTGAACTGACCTCTCATCTCAAAAGCATTAAAGCAATTTCTGAATAAGGATTCCAGAGGCTGTGGCTGGTACAGTACTTCCAGGGAGAATGTGTTAACATAATAGAATTTATAATAACACATGTATGATATTATACGTTACATACATGCTTGCTTAAATACAGGGATTCCCAGACGCTCCTGGAAATGGATTCAGAAGGCCTAGTGTGGGACCAGGCAATTGTACAAATATGCAAGTTTGGGGAAAACTGCCCTAACCAATATCTGGTTGCTTCCTTACTCCACCAGTGCTCTGCAAATAAGTGCTTTCGAAGTGCACAGACGTGTTTGACATCTGCAGTATGTGCAGCAATGGAGACTCTGGGATCTTCTCCCCTTTCCCCAGATACACTCGACAGACTCATCAGTATTTCCTCCATAATGTCACTGGTTGTCTGGAAAGGTAATGACCTGACGTGTCCTCTTTCCCACTCCTGCTCTAAAAGACTGTGATGGCCCTCGAGAGTGCCTAGAGGTATAGAATCCAACTAGATTCCTGAGCAGGACACACGAGGAACCCCACCCTAAGGCCCACACCTACGACTCCAAGTTCAACCTGCACCATTCCCCTGACCCTCACATGCACGTTGGTGCACACCTCATTCTCTCCGCACAGTACAACTTCCTCCCTAAAATGATCTGCCTTAAATGTCATCTCTGAGAGCCATCCCTGGCTTCCTCAGGCAGAATCAGTCCCTCCTGTGCTGGGACACCTCTTGACACTGGAAATTCATACTACTGCATGCCGAGCACTGGGCTAACAGTTGGGGATGCAGCAGTGAGCAAGACAGACCAGGTCCTTGCTTCACAGTGGTTAAAGCAGAATATTTACATAAATAAATAGGGAAGATAATGCTGGGCAAAGAATTTATCATTTGTTTTGTATCATCTTTTCATTTTTGTGGTGTAATATTATAAAAAAAGAATCATTAATCTCTCAAAATATTAACAAATTTTTAAAAAAAGTAACTTTTAACCTGCACCATTTCAGGAATATGCTTCCTGCATTTAAGTTTACATAGTGTAAAAAAGTATATTAAATTTGTGCTAAGTCGGTATGCAGGGTATATACTATGGTTAGTAACATAAGCACATATTCATTCTATTTGACCTGAGTGCTTAGCAAATATGCTTTGTCCGGGCACAAGGTTTATATTCCACGGTACTAAAAAGATTCCATTACAGTTCCTAAAATATCAAAGCATGAAATAAGGCTCACTAAGGATCTGTCATGCCCACTTGTATACTTTAATCAGAAATTCAAACTTTAGGGCGCCTGGGTGGCTCAGTCAGTTGGGCGTCCGCCTTCGGCTCAGGTCATGATCCCAGGGTCCTGGGATGGAGCCTCACGTCGGACTCCCTGCTCCGTGGGAAGCCTGCTTCTCCCTCTCCCACTCCCCCTGCTTGTGTTTCCTCTCTCGCTGTGTCTCTCTCTGTAAATAAATAAATAAAATCTTAAAAAAAAAAAAAGAAATTCAAACTTTAAGAGATGACGTCTTTATGATTTCACAGTTCCATCAAAGTTTGATGTCCTAAAATAACGGCCTTACTAATAGAGATTCATTCATTCACCAAATATCAAGAACCTATCATGTGGCAAGCTCATACAGGATCCTCACCCTCATAAATTTATATTCCAGTGTCTGGAAGAGCAGGTACGGGTAAGTATTTGGTGAAATGAATTAAAATAAATATTTGGATCTAGCTCTATCCTTTCATCAGCTCAGCCTACCAGTCGGCAAGTTTTCTTTTAAAAAAAGAAAGATTTTATTTATTTACTTATTTGAGACTCGAGATTTGAGAGTGTACTTGCGCACAAGGTGGGAAGGGCAGAAGAGGGAGAGGGAGTAGCAGACTCCCCCGCTGAGCAGGGAGCCTGACTAGGGCTCCATTCCAAGACCCTGGATCATGACCTAAGCTGAAGGCAGATACTTCACCGACTGAGCCACCCAGGCGCCCCCAGCAAGTTTTCTTGAACGCCATGATCCAGGTACCGTGCAAGGCAGCGCTAACTGAAGGGATAGAACATGCAATCAATTTAATGAGTTATGAACAGCACCTTTAAAGTGATACAGACTAAAATCAAATAGAAAATATAAGAAAACATAACAGATATTCATGGTAAATACTGTTTCACAAAATTTTTGCTTCACATATGCATGAGGGTACTAGATGGCAAATATAAAATGTTTTCTTACTGTGAATCCTGACCAAAGCATTCAAGTAACACTGGCTAGTGGGCTGAAAGTTCAAATTAAAGAATATTCTTTGCCAACATATTAATCAAAGCAGCGATTTTAGCACCAAAAGAGTTCAATAAAAACAAAGGCTTTTTTGGTTGTTTTTTTTCTGTAACCCTAAGAAGCCATACTGGGCACCTAGTAGACCAATGGGAAATGTTACAGAAATAACGGAATGAATGCCTACTCTGTTGAAGATGCTACATGGGATGCAAACCAAGTAAGATCCAGCTCCTACTGTAACATCTACAAACTGAGGCTGGAAAAGAGTAAGAGAAAAATCCAAACAGAGCTAAAACGGGCACCAGAGGAAAAACAACAAGGAAGTTATCAGCACATCCAAATGAAGGCAGATAAGGAGGTGGCTGAAGTAGGAAGTGACCGGAACTGAGCTCTAAAAGATGGGGCTACTTCCATGGCTGATGATGGGCCTGGGGGTGGGTGAGCGAGGAGCTGCGGGACAACGTACAGTCCAAGGAATGCTACTGTGTTTCATCTGAATGATCTGTGAAGCGGAGTGAAGTTCAACTGCCCATGCCAAGCTGAGGGGTCTGTGCTCAATTCTTTGGGAAGCTACCGGGAAACGACTGAAAACTCCTGAGCAGGACAAGTGAAAACAGCCCGCGTTGTAGTAGAAAAGTAATGCGGAGGCCTGGGACTCAGGAGGTCTGAGTTTTGGAACATTCGGAGGCTCTAACAAGCGTGACCTTGGACAAACCATTCATTCTCTGGCCCTCAGTTAAGATTACGACAAAGGAGAGCAGTTTGGCAAGCAGGGAGGACGCACCAAGCACCCAAGTAAGTACTTTCACCTACTGCGTCTTAACTCTCACAACTGGTAAGTGCTATTACTGCCGCCACTTTAAAAGTCGTGACTAACGGGGGAGAGCTTCTGTCTCTGCACCGTAAGCAGGAGAAAGGAGGGGTCCTAGAGGGATCTGGGTCTTCAAAGGATACCTGGTGCTCTAGGGGTCCACCATGACCCCAGCAGGGGCCGAGCGGGAGACTGGAGAAGGTGACCGGTGGGGGGGGGCAGACGCCTGAGACGGCGGGGGCTAGAGAAGTCAACTCGCGGAGAGGAAACCTTATTACTCCGCTCGGGGTCACCACGGAAAGTTCGCGAGTCCTTTCTGGACCACCGCCTCGCTGAGTGACCTTGGGCAAGTCCCGTCCCCCTGCGGGGTACCGGTTTCCCGCCCGGAGGTCTGCAGGACCTGCCGGCAGCGTCTTTGCGGCGTCCCCCACAGGGCCTCCAGGCCCCGCCGTCCTCGGCGCCCCCTTACCGGGGGAACCCCGGCCGCAGTCGCGAGAGCGTCTCCCCGCGGCGCCCGCCCAAAAGTCACGCGGCCCGCCGGTCGCTGGGCCTCTTACCCGGGCATGCACTGTCCCCATGGCTCCCTCTCCCGCCGCCGCCTCGCAGAGCTACCCGGACCTGACCCCGGCTCGGCTGCTGAGGGCAGAGGGCGGGTCCGCGGTAGCGCGGCTGTCAGTCAGTGTAACACCCACAGGGCCCCGGACGCGGCGCACGGGCGGCAGCCATGATGCCCCGCCCCCTGGCTCACGGTGCTTCCGCTCATTGGTCCTTGAGAACACGTGATCCGGATGTTCGCACGGACGCCGGGAAGCGCCGTGGGCCGCGCAAACGCAGAGCGTCCAGTGATGCCCGCGCCCCTGCCGGCGCTTGGGGCGCGGCTCAGTGTGAGGGTCCTCGCGCCCGGGAGAGAGCAGACGGTCGGTGGGTGCGCCAAGGCTTCACCCAGCGCCCTCCCGTTGCCCTCCTGGCGCCCCGGCCCGGCGGGTGCTGTGCGAGCCCCACGCCCCGGCGAAGCGCCGAGGCTCGCCCCCGGCCGCAGGGGCGGCCCAGATCCGGGTTGGCACCTGCTGCCCTCCTGTTGGCCGCCCGGGTCCTAACAGTCGCGGAAGGCCCCGAGGGTTGGCCCCTCGTTGGTGAAGAGAAGGTGAGGGTCATACCACGTCACGGGATTGGAGTCAGAGCGAGCGTGACAACGCCGGCCGCATCGCGGGGCCCTCGGTGGGCGGTGGGTCAATCAATGGCCATCGTCCACTGAGCTGCAGCCAGTAAGTAGTAGCGAGGGTGGTCCAAGGGATGGACTGGGGGCGGAGAACAGACGGCCACGGGGCTTCATTTGGGTGGAGAAAACAGCCCCCCCCCAAAAAAACCCGTGTCACACGTTGTGACAAATGCAGTGAGAAACAGCTAAGGGATAGAATAAGAGGGGCTGCCAGCATTTTGTGTCCTCTCCCTCCTGATAACAGAGCATCATTTCACCTCCTTTTCTGCCCCCCACCCCGCCCTCTCCCCGAGTTCCTGACACCCTTTTCCATTTAAATAGCACCTAAGCCTCCCGTGTCCCTGGGGTCCAAGTAGGCATCTGCCAGGGCCCTGTCCTTCCTTCACTGCGCCCCTCGCAGCTTGACCTACCCATCTGCCCCTCCGGCTCCTGGGGTTCAGGAAACCTTCCCCTGACCACCAAAGTGAGTCTCGGTGTCTCACCACCCCCCAGCTCCACCTCAGATTTTAGGTGTGAAAACTTTGATGGAGATTTTCAAAGATAATCTAGCAGCAAATTTTAAGCACAAACCACACAAGCTGTGAATTCCTTCTGCCACTTCCCATTCCCTCATCCGTAAAACGGGGATGATAGCAGTTTCTAAGGCATGATGGTATACTGAAGATGTGACGAGATAAAGCTTGGTGCCTGGCTCACTGTAAACACTGAATAAACTAGATCTTCCTGTATTTTCTCCTTTGTTATTCCCTCGAGTAAGCGTCTTCTCAAAGGTAAGCCATGAGGTTGACCTGCAAATTGTAACAAGGGCCCTGAGCCAAATATTGGAGAGTCTGTTGGGTACAAGGCACTGGTGACGAGGTGACAGAAGACACATCAGAAACAGAGCTTCATCCTCAAACACCATCTCTTGACAGTCAAAAGGCATATTAACATATTAAAGGCTCTGAGAAGTCCTGCAGTACCTATACCTGTTTCACTTTCTTGAACTCATTGATTGGGTCAAGAGACTTGGGGTTTTGAGGCTCTTTGGCCCTCAGTGGTGTTCATCAGTAATTCTGGTGCTCCTCTTTTGGGCGAAAGGTAGGGTTGTATTTTCCTGCCCGCATCCATGTGACTTGCTTTGGTCAGCAGGTTGTAGGCAGAAGAGATACGTATGTCTGGATGACCACCTTAGAGCACCATATTCCTTTCTGCCTGTTGCCGTGATCAGTGACCCTCCAGATGGAAGGACAGTTTCAGGCTGGGCCAGCCAAGTCTGGTGGACATATAGTATGAGAAATAAATATTCTGGGGGAGTCTTTGTTAAATACAACATAACCCAGCCTATCCTAACTGATCAAATCACCTAGTGAGACCTGCAAGGACGCCAGCTTTTGAGAAAACTTGTCTTACACAGTGTGGATCTGGCCCCATCAGTAATAGAAATGGAGTTCAGTGACCACACTGGTTCCCTTCATAAAATCAAACCTCAGGCTCAGAGGTTGTAAGGAAGGGACACTGGGTCTTCCCACAGATGCCCATAGAGGTCACTCACCTCTTAGTTTGGGACACCCTGTGGCATGGGCTCTAGGGAGTGGGCTGGGGACAAGAGGCTAGATCCCAGAGGCCTTAAGTGGAGGTGGACACGGCAGGATGCGGGGGGGACCAGCTGGAGGGGGCAGGGTCAGACGGGGAGAAGGGGCTCAGTGAGTCCCTGGGTCCTGGCTCAGGCGACCTGGAAGTTGACAGATACAGGACAGCTCTGCATGGAAGGAGTTATGTTGAGGTGCTGAGTTATGCCAAGGAATATCCAGGTGGAGGTGGCTGGGTGGGCTCGCCCCTCACCTGAGCCAGAGACCGGGTCCTCAGAGTGAGCCCCCCGGCCCCCCCAGGAGCGCTGTGAACTCTTGAGTATAGGAGGCAAGGCTGAGCCTTGGGGACAAGCCCAGCACTCAGGACAGTCTGGGGTCCCAGAGGAAGGAGAGGAACTCTAGGGGGTGGGGGGTTCTGGTCCAGTGTCCAGGACAGAGCATGTGGAGACCACCTGGCTGGTGGGGCCATCAACCTGGGGGGAGGGGGGCAGCATCTGAAGGAACCTATCTGGGAGGGAAGGAAAACAAAAGCGGGGCTCCTGAGAGAATGTAGAGACAATGGAAAATGTTTTCAAAGTCACGTTTATTATGAGTTACTTCCCAATGAAGGTAACATTTACCACAGAAATTTGAAAACCACATACAAGCACAACAGATGGACTGTAATTACAGATAATGGCGTAATGACAACCACTGTCAGCACTCGGGTGTGTACGTTCTCCACCTTTCCTCTGTACACACACACACACACACACCCACAATTTCGGGTGTTTTTAAATAAGACGAGGCTCCCACTCACTCTGCACCAAGTTTTGTTACCTGTTCACCAAATAAAGACTGTTGCTCCCTGGCATTAACTCGACCACACAGTTATTATTCCTGACGGTGGATTGTCTTCCAGAGCATAAATGCACCAGATAAAGGAGGAGTTTTGTTTGATATGGTGGTAGGAACTGAAGAATATTGTTGTGTGCTGATCAGCAACCTCAGCAGAGCTGGAGAGGTGTGGGGCTGGGGTGGCACTAAACGCGCAGGTGGGGAATGGAGCCTTGGCCATTTCTAAAAGAACAGTATCCTTCTTTGTCTTTGCACACGTATTTAAAAAAAAAATTATAAAACACATGCTCTTTGTGGGGTGGAACCAATTCAAAAAGTAGTAAGAAAAGCAGTTGCATGTAATCCTATCAGCTGTTGACATAATTCCTTCTTTATGGTGATCAGAGAACTAGCGTACATATGGTCTATGCAGAAATATGGCGGTTACCGAAAATACGGCTGACGCGTGCTCCTAGCTGCTGACCCGTGCTGCGCTTCTGACAGAAGACAGCTGATCAGGGAACTTGAGAATCGGGGGCTCAGGGGAAGGGGTGAGGAAGGTGTGAGGTGGGTGTCAGGCCTGGTCTCCCCCCCCCCCAGGCCAGCTCAGCAAGGAGCAGGGTCCTGCTCTGGGGCTTCAAGCGGCTGGGAGAGCCTGCCTCTCACCTGCTCTTGCCTCCTTTAGGAGGCGAGCGCTATCAGAACGGGAGCCTCAGTCCCCATGTCCCCGAGACACAGGGACCCAGCAAGGAGCCGCAAAGGGGCGGTTCTGTGTGCTGGGCGGTGGCCCCATATGCTCACCAGGAGCCTGCTTCCAGGAGTCCATAATCTCATGGCAGCTCAAGGGAACAGGCTGGCCTAGAGGCTGCCCCTAGAACCACATTTCTCTTTTTAAGGGTCTGTCCTTGTAAGGAAGTGCTGTGTCTGAACTTGCTGGTTCTTCAACTCCCAGTGTACTGACTCGGTACAGGTGAGAGATGCAGGTTGCTGTGCCAGTGTTGAGGATTTTGAGCTTATCACTGCTTCCTTTTGATTACACTCAAATGCATAAATAAGAAAAACAGCACAGTTCACCTGCAGTCACTTTACTCTGTGCTTGCCAACGAATCACACCTGGGGAGAAGGTAGGTCCCCGTCTCTTGCTCGTCTCCACTAAGGCTCTGGGAGTACAGAAGTGGGCAGGGGATGTTGAGACAAAAGGGGTGCAGGCCACAAGCCCTTCTGTTGTGCTGGGCTACTGCCTGGGCGCCCAGGATGCCTATCTGTGCACTGAATTCTATTTTTTCATCAGGCTTCTTAATACCTCCCTAAATTCACATACAATGCAACAGATAATAAGACTCCTTTATATTTTATACAAAACTCTATCAAATATTTAAGCTAGGTCAAAAAAAGTGTTCCAAAATGTAAATAACTGAGCATCTTTTAATGGCCCACGAGCGTCAGTGCCCTCGTCGGAGAAGGCTACCACCCCCTCCCACGCCACTGACCACTTCCTGTCTGGGGAAACAGGATCACGTTACTCTTCCTTCCAAACCCCAAGACTGCACCAAGCGCAGCCCAACCCCCAGCCATAAGTACCCCCACCCACCCCCAACCCATCACAACACAGGCTATTCTAGGAACATTGCACTGGGAGGGCAGCAAGACAGTTGGCAGTGGCCCCTCCATCCTGGGCTTCCTGGTGTCATTTCCCAGCCAACAAAGCTAACAGACCCAGATGCTTAAATGTTAGACTTCCTTAAGCTCTAGACCACCACATACACCAAAAGTAGCTTCCTAGCTTTTCCTAAAAACATTAGATTGCCTTTGGTTTCAGTAAACTATAAATTCAGCACAGAGGCAGGACCCCATGTGTCACAGACATCGGGGCATTGAATGCCAGTGCGGACGTAGCTACAGAGCGATCGGGAAGTACCTGCGAAAGAATGTCTGAAACTTGTCTCCTCATGAACGCTTCTGCACGAGGACTGGGAAAGGAGGAGTCCCTCCCAGCCCCAGCCCCCAAAAGCCAGGCCAGACAGGAGGACAGGTTTGCCGAGCAGCCTCAGCTCCGGCCCCTATTGGACAGCAGGGAAGGTAGCAGTGCCTTCATGTCCCTCGGGGAAGGCTGTTGGCCGCTTGCTGGTGTCTGGGATCTGAAACGAGTGAAGAATACTAACTCAGCCGCTTGGCCTGCTGCTCTGAGGTCTTCAGCCGCAGCAAGGATGGATGGATAGCACCAGCCCACGCCAAGTGCACCTCTGGGCACTGCAGGGTGGTGGTGTCCAAAGCCACGGCGTCTTCCACCCTTCTTCCGTGCTGGGCTGATGTCACCATCCTGGGGTTCTAAGCTGGTGGCCCTCCTGCCACCTGGACCCCTCCCACTGGACGTCCACAGGCACAACAGAGCCCATCAGCTTCCTCCACATAGACCAGCTCGCCCACTGGCCTGCACTACCATCCCCAGGCCACCTCCTTCTGACCAGCTGCCCCACTCCCTCTGAATGCAGGCAGACCCCAGGGCTTGCAACTGGCATCTCCTGGCCCTAGAGCCTACGAACACCTCAGTCCCACAGGTTCTAATGAGACCAGGCCCTCCTCATCCTTGCCTGGACCAGGGCATCTGCCCTCTTGCTGGGGAGCCTGCCACCCGAGGGCCCAGTGATGAGGGCTCCTTCCCACGGCCACTAGAATCATTGCCCAGTGCAAACCAGACCCTTCCGCTCCCCTACTTTGAACCCTTCCATGTCTGCCAATAGCACTGAGACCCCATCTCCTGAGTGCCCACCACATGGCCAGTAGCATGCCAGGGGCTCCCCAAAGCCTCAAAAAAACCCAGTGAAGAGAGAAAGAACACCCACACGGAACAGGTGAGACCGTCAAGGCCCACAATTTTCAGGATTAGACCCAACGCCTGTAGCTGCAACCAGGCCCTTCTCTCTCTGAATCTGTTTTCAGAATTCAGAAGCAGCAGCATCCCAGGGGCCATGGTAGCAACGAAGGATGCTGGGTTCCACCCCAGGCACCCCGCCCCCCAGACTGCGATTCAGCAAGTGTGGGGTAAGACGAGAATCTGCATAAATAGGCACCCCCCAACCCGCAGATGAAAGGTCCCTGCCAGACCCACACACCCACAGCCAAATCATTGACCTGGAGATGGGGAAGAGCTGTGTCATCACTTGAGAACACACACTCGAGGTGAGCCACTGCAGCCACCGGATGTCCTCAGGCATATCTGGAAGCCACATCACCAGTCTGCAGGAATAAAACCAGGAGACACACACATACACACTTATCTGCATGAGAACAAGCCAACACACACACACACACACACACACACACACAACCAAAAACTAAGCAAAAGGTAGGTATCTTAAAACAATGTCCTTTGTCCAGCTAAACCGCCAGACTTACATCTAACCCCAATCTGATCAATCCCGGGAGGTGGATTAGGGACATGACACCAAAGACAAACCTCCCTAAAAGCCCTAAAGCAAAGTTAGGTCACTTGGGGCTCCGGAAAGCTCGAGGGATACTCAAGGAAATAAAAGGGGAAGGGTTTCCAGGCTTCTCCTCTGTGGCAAGGTACCCTCTGAAGCTGATGCAGAGAATCTCATAGTCAAGGTAGCACCTCCCCCCACCAAGCCCTGTGGCACTGGGCCATGTGCCAGCCCAGCAGACTCCCCACCCCCCAACCCCCACCCCTGCACAAAAGGACCCATGTGGCAAGCTCTGTAAATGCCTGACCAGACCTCACCCCAGGGCAGGGGTGTCGGGAGCAGGCGGCTAATTCAATAAGAGCGAGGAGGGGATCTGGGCAGGAGAATGGAGCTGGATTCTGAAGGATGGTTTGGCCTCTAAAAGATGGACCAAAGGCCACACTGACTGACTCACTAAGAAGACCGTAAACACCAACATAAATCTAAAGAGAGCAGAGGTTAAACAAATACCCAGGATTCAAGTGTGTGCCTCGTGTCCTCCCAACACCCCAGGAACAAAATCCCAAAATGAAAGTGTACAACTACTAAGAAGTGGCAAAAAGAGGTGGGCTGAGCGGGGTCCCTGTGAGGCACCTTTCAGGGTGCTCCTTACGGACCGTGGGCTCCGTCGCACTCTACAAGGAGCCAGGCCACCAGTCAAGGCCCTTACATGGATTCTCTCAATCTCCACCCAACCCCAGGAGGAAAGCACCAAGCCACACAAAGCGCTCACCTCTGGACCATGGCGATGGCAGACTCCACGGGCAGTGTGCAAGGAAGCACCATGTATGACATTACCTTAATCGGTAAGAAGTTGCAAATCTTGCTCATGTATCCACGTTGGTTTTTAACTGCTTTACTCAGTGCTGAAAAATACAATGTGCAGGTAAAAACCAAACCACCTTCCTGTGAGGCTGCTTGGATTTTCTATGAAATACACAAATCCCGGGGCGCCTGGGCGGCTCAGATGGTTAAGCGTCCGCCTTCGGCTCAGGTCATGATCTCAGGGTCCTGGGATCGAGCCCCGCATCGGGCTCCTTGCTTAGCAAGGAGTCTGCTTCTCCCTCTGCCTGCCACTCCCCCTGCTTGTGCTCTCCCTCTCTCTCTCACTCTGGCAAATAAAGAAATAAAATCTTGAAAAAAGAAAGAAAGAAAGAAATACACAAATCCCGGCATCTGAAGAATCGGAAGCACTCACAAATGAGATCAAATGAGGAGTGTGCCCAGAACAGCCCTCAGATAGCCCCCAGGATACAGGGTTCTCAGTGAACCACCCTCGTTTAAATAACAACTGTTTTTGGAGGGCTGCACAAACTTCTCGAATACCCCATCGACTTCTGAGCTTTTTCCCTGAACCTTCCGCTGGACTGTGTCTCCTGCTGCCCAGAGCCATCTGTCCTGTTAGCTCCCTTTTGTAATGACCTCCTGATGCCCCAAATCACATTTGCCCCAACAGCTGCTGACTAGTGCAGTTAGCGCAACAGAGGTGCTAGTGCCCCGGGGCAAGGGATGACGTCCCGTGCGTCTCTGAATTTCTCCAAGTGCCCGAACGGAAGCTGGTAGGTGCACGCCTGTCCACCTAATAGTTGAGCACATGATAAAGTATATCACCACTCAACGGCGATTCAAAATTGCAGGTCTGGAGGCAGGGAGAAATCAGGGAAAGGGGGCTCCTCAAGAAAGAAGGCTCTGAGATGGGTGAACAGGCAGAGAGGGGCTCTGGAAGAACAGGCCCACCCCTGTGGCCCCCCCACCCCCACTCCCCACCCCCATCATTCAGTGTGTGCAGTTCACTCAAAACAGGCTCAGCTGGAGTCTGCTCTCCTCTGGCCATGACCCCATGGGAAAGGAGACTGAGCACAGGCCTGTGCCAGGAGTGGGGGCCCCAACAGGTCTGCCCTCTTGCTCCGCCCCACCTCCCACATGAGGATTACCTTCCTCCACAGCACCTAGAGTAAAAGCCCTTTCAGTTTCTGTGTCTCTCTTTCTCTCTGTGTGTCACAGGAAAACCACCTCCTCTGTCAGCCCGCCCCCCTGCAGAGTCAGCACCTGCCGTGAGCTTGGGCGACAGTGTGTCCAAGATGCTCTCATCCCAGGGCAAGATGCTGAGACGCAGGTGGTCCAGCAGCTCGTCTCCCTTAGGCTTCATCCGCCCTGCAGCCGCCCTCGGGGGAGATTCCAGGCTCCTGTGTCCCCAGGTGAATTTAAGGATCTTCAACTCCGCTGAGGGTAAATTCAGGCATGGATGGGGCCTGTTGCAGATGCCTACCAAGGACATGGGAAGCCAACCACCAAGTGAATGTGGGCCTCAGGGGGTCATTACTCACGCAGCAGCCCACCCGCAGAATGACAGGAACCCAGTAGGCAAGCGCCCAGGAAGCTGCAGGCCTGTTATGGGCCAAGCAGGAGGTGGGAAGAAATGAGGGCGGGCGTTTGGGCTTGTGTAACAGAGAGAAACAAGTGTGGGGTTTTGAAGCCAGAGACATGTGAGTTTGGCTCTGGCTCGATCACTCACTTAGCTGTGTGCGCCCCACAGCCACAGGCGGATTTATGAAGGTGAAAGATAAGAATTACAACTGATTTATAATAACTGGACCACCGGTGAAGCCCGTATTCCAGGCCCTGAGTTAGGAACTTCATAACAATTACGACCATTTCCACTGGTCTCCGCTCCTCCACTTCAGCCGAGAAATCAGAAGCACAGAGAGGTTAAGAGACTCACCCAAAACCACACAAGCCAGTGAGTGGAAGAGCAGAATTCAACCCCAGGTCTGACATTAAAGGTGACACTCTTCCGCTGTGGGGTTTTGAAAGCAGCACTAGGTAAGGGAGTTTGGGCAGGCTCTGCCCTAGGTGCTGGGGCTCAGTAGCTGATACCAGTGAGTGGTTCCTGCTCTCACAGAATTGGCAAGCTGGGCTGAGCAGGTGCCCACGCTGCCCCCTGGCTCCCCTCCTGCTCCCAACCTCTGGTTAAAAAGACCAGGGGCTGTTCCCAGATGCCTGTGCCTTGTTCCCCAGGTTAATCTTCACAGCACCCTTGAGTTCCGGACCCTGGCCAAGCCTCCGGCTGCCTCCCTGGCCCCCGGGGAACGACCAGCATCCACACCGTGCCAGGGGCCTTCAAGGCCTCTGCTCCCATAGATCTTTCCCGCCTTGATCAGGCACCCTCCTCATCTTCCAGGACTGTGCCATCCCTTAGGAGTGTTTCCAAGAATCTCTTCCTGGAATCTACTCACTTAGATCTTTATAGACTCCAACCCAACACAGAGGGTGCCAATGCCAGTCTTTAGAATTACCAAGAATCCCCTCGATACAATTTAATCCACAATCCCCTTGCTGCAGGGTGGGCACAGAGGCTCAGGGAAGGAGATGGTTTGCCCAAAGTCATCTAAGTTAGGAAAGTCACTGTGTCACGTGAGTGCACCCCTAAGGGCTCTGCCGCTGTCCCGGATTCCCAGATTCCTTCCAAATTCCATTGCACTCCCAGCCCCGACGGCTCTGCAGGACTTCAGCCTCTGACATTAGCTTCCTCCTGCACAGCTGCCCCAGAAATGGCCCTGGGGCACTGCACCGCCACCCAGCCCACACACAGCACACCAGCCTTCCCAAAGAATGCGTTCCCTTCCCTTCCCAAGAGCCCTGAGCCAGCGAGCAGGGCACGCCCGCCCCGGCTGTGGGAGCCAGAAGCCAGTACTTCATTCCTGAGTCTGACCCTTCCAGAATCTCTGACTGGTCACCTGCGAGTCCTGTTCCCTCGGGCCCTTTGTACCGCCCTTACTGCCCTGGCCTTGGCCGACCCTCCAGCTGCCTCAGGGGTCCCCTGGAGACCACCATCTCACCCTCTCCCCATGCAGCCAAAGACCTCTGCTGACCTCCCTCACTCCTGCCTCAGTGGCCCTCAGTGGCTCTCTATCGTTACAGGACGCAGAACCCTGTCGTGTCCACCAGGCCCAGCCCTGCCCCCGCCCCCCGCTGCCCATCTCTCAGTGTCGCCTACCCCCGCCACTCCAGTTACATGTGCCTTCTTTCCCTCTTCCAGCCTTACTACATGCTTTGTGGCCTGCAAGCCTCTCACTCATGTCGCCCACGCCTAGAACGCTCCCATTCATCTCAAAGTTACAACAAGGATTCACATCCTCCCGAAGCCCTACTTACCGCCCCCCCCCCCCCCCTCCCCGCCGGGCCATGCAGATCACTCCCGTGTGATCCCACAGTGTCCTGTAGCTTCCTATCAGGGCACTTGGCACACGCCGTCCTTCCACTGGCTTCTCTGCCCACCTGACCCGCAGGCTAAGCTCCCAAGGGGCAGAGACCACATCTGCCTCTTCCCTGTGGTATCCCTGGCACCGAACCAATGGCTCAGCATCTTGAAGGTGCACAAGCAACATTTTCCCAGTCGAAAAATACATGTATGTCCTTTTAACCACCACTCCTTGGTCTTCGCCAAAGACTAATTCAGAGAAGCAATAGGGAAACCAACTTTTAGTCTTAAAGACAATCCATCTAATACTGGCGAGAGCCCAGCTCCCAGCGCCCAGACCCGCGGATGACCCAAAGGCAGGAACCTACTCCAGAAAGGATAGCTGGGCTCATGGGTATGACCCCCGCCTGGCCAGAGACAAGGTCAGGAAAAGCTCTAGCCGGATCAACTTGGTTCTCTGAGAGGTAAATGCCAAGACAGGATTAGACCTACGAGAGGCTTACTGGGGAGAAGCATATAAGGATTCTGATGGTTCCACTTGGGGCTCAGGGCCAGAAACCCTGCTTAAACTCCCTCCCTTGTTAATCTAAGATTCAAAATAGTTCACACAGACAAGAAGAACCAACAGGACTGCCTTCACTGTTCGGACAGGGGATTACTGAGGGAGGAGAGAGCCGTGGGGCAGGGATACCCCGCGGCCGAGCCCCAGCTCTGTCCCTCGGTGGGGTCCCTGGCTCGCCGCCATCTCCCCATTTGTAAAATGGGGCCAAGATTTCCTATCTCCCAGGGCGAATGAAGGGGCTGAGCAAGGTGCCAAGTGAAGACGCTGAGTGCCGAGTTTCTACCAAACACCAGCCTCCAGTGACCGCTAGCGACAAGCTTGTTCAAAGGCCGTGTCTACCCTCACCTCGTCCATACGTACCGTTCTCCTCCAAGAACCTCAAGGCGTCTAAGTACCCGCGAAGGCATATCTCGCCAAGCACCTGCGACAAATCAAGTAAGGTAACTGCGGTGCAGAGTCCAAGAGCAGAACCCTCCCTGTTTGGAACTGCTCCCATGGCCCAGCATGGCCACAGCAAGGCCGCACACAGGGCTCCATGCTCCTGAGAGACAGAAGTCCACTTCCACACGGGACTAGGCTCGAACGACACCCCCTCCGCAGAGACTTTGCTGGCAGCCCAGCGTGACAGGCACTGACTTCCCTAGGCTCCCTGGGTCCCCGGACGAGCCTCCACCCTCACAAATATGGGGGCCTGTTCTAGTTGTCACGGGACAATTAACAGCGGCCTCCTCCACTCGTCTGGATACAAACCACACATGCAAACCAATGCACAGCCTCCCCTCTCTCCTGGAGTACATGCTGTCGGGGTACAGCCTACATGCTGCCTTCCTTCTCCTGGAGAACCATTAGGGTACATGGTTCACACCTTTCCTTTTTATTAGGGAGATAAGACCTCCTACAACAACAATCAAGAAAGATTAAACCACCAAATGCAGTGTGGTTCTTGACCACACTTGCAAATACGAATCATCAGGATACCTCCAAAAAAAAAAAAAAAATCGCACTGCCCAGGCTGCACCCCAACTACTTAAATCATAGCCCAGGGATGTGGGATCTGAGCTGCGGGGTTGTTTAAATCTTCCCAGGTGATTCCAGTGGGCAGAGTGGGGCAGCCTTGAGCTGCCGGGACCAGAAACGCTTCTCTGAGTTCCTATTTGATGAGGGGGGTCTGTTCCTGTTTGTGGAAAGGACAATTGGGAGCTATCCTGGCAAACAGGGCAGCAAAGAAGAGCTGCACCCCCAGAACACACAGCCCCCAACTCACCTTGAGATCCGGAGGGAACAGTGCTCGCATTAGTAGGTAGGCATTCTCAGAGCAGAGGCGCAAACTGAGCTTGGTTAGGTCTACGTGAAGAAAGTTCGTCGACGTGACTTTAGGGCAGATGTCATACTCCCCATAGAAGGGGGACACAGTGATGGTCGTTTTGGCATCAAAGAAGGGGACATTGTCACTTGCTCCTCCATCCACGTATCGCTTTTACGGGGAGGAAGAAAGGACATACTGTCAGAAGCTCTGGGCTAGTGTCTTCGGTGTTTTTCTGGATTATGGGTAGAGGCTTCTCAGAGCCGCAGGCTGATATTGTGGGAAGACAAGGTTCCAGAACTACTCTTTCAACAAAGCTTTACTGAGCATTTCTATGCCAGGCCAGGCTCTGGGCTGGCACTCAAGTGTGCTATATACTGTTGTGTAGTTCGTGCACTGCACAAAAAGTACCTGGCAAAGAGGCAGACAGAGGCTGGAGCCCAGCCCATAGTTCGCTGGCCAAGTCCGAAGCCCAGGCGGGTACCTATAGGTGTGCCCATGTAATCTGCACAAAAGGGGCCGTATAAAGCAGGGGCTCTGTGTGCACGGGGGACAGAGTATGATATAGACCCTGCCCTCAAAGAGACAGAAGGTCATGGGTTCAATTCCAGACCTCCCTTGCTGCTTGGAAAATCAGAACCAGCACCTTGAGGAGCTTTGGAGGCTTAAATGGCAGTGAACCTGGAACCAGGGCAGCCTTTGGAAAACCTCCGCTGAATCCACAACCTAGTGGCATTTGAGATCAGCTACCGTAAGCATCAGGCTTCCTATATCCATACCCTTTGACAACCTTAGGCTGGCACAAGCAGGGTTGGGTACAATTTGGACAAAGTCTTGGACCGCTCAAAGCAATGTCTAGAATGATTCCCAAATCCGAGGCCGTCCCAGCCCAGCTGTCGGTGCCCACAGAGAAAGGCCTTCAAGTATCACAGCCAGTCCTTCCCGAGACCTAAAGCAAGTCCAGAGAAGAACCACTCATGCTAAGCCACGCCTTAGCTATCCAGAGAGTCTTGCCTTGAGTCCAA